CGCCCGCGTGGCGCCCGCGTGGCGCCCGCGTGGCGCCCGCGTGGCGCCACACGCGCAAGTGAACCCTGTCGATCTGCAAAGTCGAGGTTCACTTCTGTCTTTTTTTTGGTTTGTAGACAGGCACTGGGCCCAACTTAGTGACTTAGTGAGGGTGTTCCGGCCATGGCCCCATTTCGTGAGCAAGTTGAGCACTTAGGATTTCGCAGTTGAGCCTTGGTCTAGTGACCCACCGTTGCTCAATGGCAGCGGACCTCTTGCCACAGGGCCTGCTGTTTGCGGGCACCTCCAACCTGGTGGCGGTGCGATGGCTCATGGTCTTGGGGGCAAATGCCAAGGCGGGCGCGGCTCCGTGGGCTCCGTGGGCTCCGCGCGTTTGGACACAGCACCATGAGGCTGTCAAAAGGTGGAACGCTAAAAGTGGTGGTTCCGAATGGGCAGTGTTGAAGGAGGAATAGACCCGGTCGAAGACGAGGACTGCTCCAAGATGATGAAAAATGACTATTAGGATAAAAATGGAGAAAAAGCGCTGACTGACCGTCGTTTGTCTGGCACCTAACGTCACCTAGCCATCCCTTGTCATAGTTTGTCATCCTTGTCATATCTCGTCATCCAGTGAATGACACCACGTGGCGGGACCACGGTCGTTGGGGTTGAGGCACGCGACAAGAATGGCACCACTATGCTTCACGCAGCCTGCCGAAGTGGAAGCTTCCTCATGGTGCAGGAGCAAAGAGCCCGACAAATTGAGGGTTCATCGGTCAATGTGCTCTCGTTTGATGGGTTGTTCTGAATGACTGGTATTCTGGGATAGTCTGCCTGAAACTGGGATGATCCTGGTGCCTTTGTTTGCATTCTTTTCGTCATGCATCAGGTTCCCATCCAAAAGGCCAGGCCACCTGCAACAACCACTCAAGGTGCAGCAAATCCTTTTGAATCCTATTTTGTGCCTGTGAGGGTCCGGAATGCTCGCTTCGAGCCTTGCGATTTGAAATATCATGAAGTATACCTCTCAGTATCTCCTCACGCCTTCAGAATGCCTTCAGTCTAGATGATCTCTATATATATATATATATAATCAAAGGGCTTGAAAAGGAGACTGGAAGCAGGGCACCGGAGGTCACCCGATTCTCCGGCCAAGAAGTCGAGGAGTTGCTGAAGAGGGACCTCCCGGTGGATGCCGCCGATGCCGCCGGCTGGACGCCAGGGCGCCCAGAAGGATTCGGTGGACGTCTTGGGTAAGGGACTGAGACCTTTTGGATCCTTTTGAATACATGGGTCGGAAGTACAGACCAAAAGACCACCCAAGACCACCCAAGACCTCCTAAGACCTCCTAACACCTCCTAAGACCTAAGACCAAAGACCTAAGACCAAGGGTTTGAGACTTGTGGGCAGTTGGTGGGCAGCGAATGGCACGTGACTCGTGCTTCTCACGCTTGCACTAGAGAAGATGCTGGCTTTGATCGGCTGTCTGGTGCCACTCACTCAAGGGTGCCTTGGTTTGGCACTTCAACAAGGTTGGAGGATAGATGGCTCCATGCTACCCTAAGTTGTTGGCCCATCTACCATCCGCCTGGCTGCCAAGCTAGTGTTTGAGGTACATCCATCTAGCAAATCTGGCCAATCATCAAAGTTGTTTTAGTGATGCTAGATTCTATTATTCACTACTAGTACAGTAGTCAAACCATGTTTGCATTATGTTGAATCTATCTACGCCACCTCGGCCTGTCTCCAGCTTTAGTTCTTTTTCCAGCCGCCGACACGCAACTGGCGCGCTTCAGGCCCCTTCATGTGGCGGCGATGATGGGGCGCCGCTCGTCGACCCGGGTCGGTTGGGGTCGAACATCCCCGGTTGGCCGACCGGTGGCAGACAACGACCTGGTGACGCGAAGAGGGATGAAATGGTACATGAAAATAGCTTGGAATGTGGCAGGTTGACTGGCAAAAAAAGACATGCGAAAGGCACCCAATTGTATAATAGATCAATTAGGAGTATCAGGATGAACCATGTTATTGAGATATGCAATAATTGTTATAGAGATTCTTGTGTTTGCTAAGACGAGACCGGACATGATTGTCGAACTGATCCCCTTTTGCCTGACTAACCTCAGATTATGCCATGGAGGCATCTCAAGGTTGGCAAGTAATAACGGTGCTTGGGCTTCTCCGGTAATTCGAATTACGGAGAAATCATTGAACATGATTCACGTATATATATATATATAATCATTTGTCTTTGCTGCATTTGGAAGATTGGGTTTGGAGGGCATACCTAACCAATGTCTTGGTGAAAAGCTTAGAAGCTTAAGGCTGCAGGCACGCACCTGTTTCTGTATACTTTGGGACTCAGCGGCAGGCACCTGTTTCTGGTATGCCTTGCGGTGCAGGGCATGGCGCCTTGCGGCCATTCCTGAGACTGAACCCCCAGAATGTGCCTTATCTACTGAGCGCGTCTCCGTGCTCCGTCTGGTGTGAGTGAGGCCGAGAGCTTTCGCTCTTGCTCCTGCAGGCGAGAAGAGGGGGTGCGGTTCCTGCTGGGGGGCGCTGGTCACCGTGCTGATGGGCCCAACGGTGACACGCAGCAAAACCGAATTGAGAACAAAAGCACTGACGAGACTCTTAGGTTAAAAGATTCCATTGGAAGTTAGGAGACCGGAGGTTGAAACTTGTCAGACATAGTAGGAACATTTAGCTGAAGCACAAAAAAACAGCTTTAAATACGTGCTCACTTTGATGAAGGTTTAAGGCATGTCATCCAGACCTTCCTTGCTCGTTGACAAGTCATATTATCATGCCCGGAAATCTGTGTATCAAATTACACCACCGTAGACCCCAAACAGGTGAGACAACAAAGAAGCATTCCCAGGTCCATTTTTTGAGACATGGGAGACAAGAAGGAAGAGAAGGTGGACACAATGACCAACAATAAGGAAGACAAGAAGGGAGACACAAGGGGAAACAGAAGGGAGACAAGACGGACACAATGACCAACAAGAATGGGACACAGTGACCAACAAGAATGGGACACAATGACCAACAAGAATGGGACACAATGACCAACAAGAAGGGAGGGAGACAAGAAGGAAAACAAGAAGGGGAGACTAAAGGAAACAGAAGGGAGACAAGGCGAGTGACCAACAAGAAGGGAGACAAGAAGGGAGACAAAAGGAAACATAAGGGAGGCAAGACGGAGACAGTGACCAACAAGAAGGGAGACAAGACCGCAGACAAAGGGAGACAGAAAGGAGACAAGGCGGACACAATGACTAACAAGAAGGGAGACAAGAAGGGAGACAAAAGGAAACAGAAGGGAGACACAGAAGGGAGACCAGACGGACACAATGATCAACAAGAAGGGAAACAAAAGGACGCAATGACCAACAAGAAGGGAGACAAGGAGGAAGACAAAAGGAAACAGAAGGGAGAGTCGACTGACACATTAGACATCTTTTTGGAAATCAATTTTTAGACACTGAGGAGGCGCTCTGCCAACGCACAACAGCCTGATGGAATTTCATTGTTGGTTTTGTCAATGTGTTTTGAAATCAAGTTTCTTGACACTGCGCCGTTTATTTTAAAGCTGGCGCACGCTTTGGAACCACATTGGGTGGGTGGGTCCTCAGGGGCTGGCTGGCGCTCGATAGATTCGGGCCGGAAGCAGCGCTAAAAAATAGTGGTTTATGCCTGAGACAGCCACTCACCTGTTGGTCTAGCTGCAAATCATTCACATGCATCGTGGGGACTTGAAAGGTACACTGCAAAGCTTATCTTCTGGCCACTCTGGCTCTCAGCCATCAAACTTTGTGCAATCGCGCGCTCTTTGTCTTGCGTTCTCTCGCCGCCGCCCTAGAAGAAGTGCTGCGCGCTCGTGTCCGCCTTGCCGCTGTTGCTCCCTCAGGTTGGGTTATGGCTGCCCTGGGCTTAGAGTAGATTTTTGGACGATTGAAAACTGCTGCGGCCGATCGAACTTCGAGCCAGGCTTCCCCGGCATCCTCAGCATTCTCGTTGATCACCGTGCCACGCCACGTTGCGGCCTTGGGTGTTAACTGCTGAAACTACATATGAGGCGTTGTAGTTGAAACATGTGTTAGCCCGTGTTTGTCAGCTACTGCCTCTAGAAGAGGTTGACAAGTTTTTTGACCCTGGAACAAGCCGAGTTTTTTTTGTATGGAGGAACACAGTTTGTCACAGGGTCGCGTGGGAACTATTTAGCTCCGACGTTTTTAAATATAAAGCAGACAAAAGTAAAGAAGGAGGGAATCGGTTTGATGCCTTCTCTTAGGTGTGTGGACGCTCATGCCTGACGGAGTTCCTTTGGAATGAGGACCCGCCAGCAGTGTGTTTCAATCTCAGCTCGCGCCGCACGTGGGCCGGAATATTATCGCTTCGCTCGCTTGTCTGCTAGGCGAGAATTGTGGCGGCGTCTGCCCATCCATTGCTGGGCACTTAAGCATTCATTCCACGCGGCGTTGTTGTGGCAATTGCAAGCGCTTGTCGGAAGCGGCTACGACGGGGACGGTTTCTTTGAAGGCGACCTGGCTCCTGGTGATCTTGGAGTCTATGAGGCCAGGCACTTAAGTTACTTAAGCTTATTTCCATTTCTCCATTCAAAAATAATATTCACACTGTCCTTGCCCGAGGAAATGTATGATTTCCCCTTGCCCGAGAACGAGCCGGATGATTCTGAGGAGCAGGCCAGAGTTTTCTGAGACGTGTTCTGTTTTCTTTCTGCTTATAAGCCTTTTAAGCGTTGTATTGAATTCCGTTGGGCGTCGCCAGGATGATGCAGCCACTGCCGCCTCATTGCCACGATCGCGCCAATGTCTGATGTAGGCGCCAAACTTGCCGTGACGGTGGCCTGCCACGCGCTCAAATATTGACATCTACGTTTCGCTTTTTTAGGCGATCTGCCCTTGAGAAACAGCAAGCTTTTGTGACGAGGTGGGGGACACGGATGCGGAGCTACAGCGCCTTCAGAGTCGGAGGCTGGGTGACTACCGATGGGAGACTCTGCGACAATGGCGTGATAGCGGAGATGCCAGGCGCTCTCCGAACAGGACCAGCGCCGCGGACGGAAAAGGCCGCTTGGTGTGCCAGTTTGGCTATTGAAACATTGGGTTTTGCGGGGCTATGTTTGCAGCGTCTTGAATACTGTTGCGGGGCGCTCGCGTAAGGCAATCTTTGGGGCGCTACTTGTCTTTGGGGCGCTTGCTCGTGGGGCAAACAGCAAACACATCGGGGGGCGCAGCCACTAGTGGTGTCCCACCCACCTCGTGAAAGCTTTGCGCCGCTCGGTTTCACTTTGCGGCTCAGCGCTTTTACGCCACCAATATCTGCCACGCGCTGACTGAATCCCCTCAAGGCACCCCGGCCTCCAAGCAAAGGCAGCGTTCGACCAGAAGTTTTCAAAACCAACTTACGAGGATTCACGCTCACGCTGGTTAGAACCTGCGGGGGCGCTAGTTGTGCGGAAAGGCGACCGCCGTTCCAGGACTGCGCAGCCAGGATGGATTTTCGATTGAAATTTACACGCCTTTCGGGGAGTCAATTTTCTAGACACTGCGCCTTTTAACATATTGTAGGAGTTCTTTCAACACACAACAGCCTGATGGAATTCCAACATTGGTTTTGTCACGTCCTTTGGAAATGAAATTTCTAGACGCTGCGCGTTTCAAAGTTGCGAATTTTGGAACCACGGTCTTCAGGGGCTGGCTGCTACTCGATAGAACTGAGCCCGAAAGTGTTGGGTTTGTGTTTGTCTAGACGTTGCGCAACTTTAAAGGCCGCTCCCCTTTCAAGACCCCCTACAATCTCGCTGCCACCCCGAACTCCAATCTTTAACGTTAACGTTCTTTGGGAAATGTGTTTTGTAGACATTGTCATGGACGAGGCGATCGCCTATCGATTGATTTTCAACTTGAAATATATACGTCAACGTCAGGCCAGGCGCCCACTCGTCCATTTCGTTGGGTGGGACTTGCGGGGCCGGTAAAAAACCTAGGGTTGGCCCCTCGCAAATGCAATCGCCAGTTCCTCTCGACTTCGCCTTTTTCTACCGATCGATAATGTTCACCCTACGTCAGCCCTAGATTTTCCGAATGCGTCAGCGGGTGTATGGGCACAACGCTGTCTCTTTGCGCTGGTGCGCAAGACGAACACAGTGACCAACAAGAAAGGAGACAAGAAGGGAGACAAAAGGAGACAAGCCGGAAAGGCGGACACGCTGTCCCGCAGCAAAACACTCTTAGAATGCGTTGAGAGCCGCTAACAGTAACAGTAAAGAAATCACATGGGAGACAAACGAATAGAAATGCTGCATGGCCAGCGGAAAGGGGCGGACACCAGCAGTGCAGGCACCGAACCTGGGACCTGGCATGTGCTCACTTACATTTTACCACCCCCCCCAGCGTGCGTCGGCAAATCGAAGGGCTGGGGGGGCGGGTCTGGAAAATGTAACTTGCAACCTGGCAGGCCTGAACTTGCATTTTTTTTATTCCCCCGTGCGTCGGCAGGTCGAAGGGCTGGGCGGGGTGAACAGCAGTTGGGCAGAGTCATCATCAAGAAAGAAGAACAGCAACACACACACAAAACAAGACCCAAAAGGAAGGATGCCAAAACAACACCCACACATAGCAGAGCATGATCACTGCTATGTTGTTGCCCTGTCTGCTTGTCCCTTGCTAGAAAGCAAAGATGAGGGAACAGCAGTTGGCTTTAGCCACCATCAACAAAGAAGAACAGGAAACACACCCAGAGCAAACTGCCAAGAAACAGGAACACACATGTTCCCACTCAAGACCCCAAAGGAAGGCAACAAAGCGATACCCAGGATCATCCACGTGCTACACAACAAAGGAGAGGCCATTCTAATCTCGCACAGCTGCCGGTCATATTGTGCAGGAGAACAAGGATATTGAATGCTGTTTGATCCCTGGTTATTGCCCCCTGCTTGCGCTTCGTGGAGTCGCTTGTGTGTGGGATTTTCAGTATGCAAAAATGTAATTAACTTGTAAATTCTGGGGGGTTTGGGCATGTGACAAAAATGTAAGTTACAATCTGTGAGGTCAAACTTTCTCACATAACCCAGGTATTCCCTGCAAAATCTGAGGGTTTGGATGCGTGGACTAATTGTAAGTTACAATGTTTGACGTCTGCAAATCTCACCGTTTGCCTGCATCCTGAGACAGCAAAACAAATTCAATCCAACACTGACTCAGGGGGGTCAAAAAATGTAAGCGCCCCACCGTGCCTCAAAAAAGTAACTTACATTTTTGAGATCATTTTCCAGGAAGTCACCCATGAGGCCTCAAAATTGTAAGTTATTTTTTTGAGGCCACCTCAAAGTTAATGTATATAATTACATTTTTTGGAGGCCCTCCGCATAGGAAAATGCAACTTACAATTTTCGACGTCCCCCTCAGGAAAGGGTAGTGATGTTAGTTGTAGTTTTGAATGTGTTGCTTCTGTGCCATGAGTTTGGAAAACTGAAAAACTCGACTGTAGTGTAGGCTGTGGCCGTAAACAGTGTGGACAACTCTCAACTTCTTGAAGTGAAATGAAAGAGTGTGTAGTTGTAACAAACCTGTTCCTACGTGCCTTTGCGAAAGGCAAAAAGCCCTTTATTGTTTCTATTCCGCCTCCTTTTCTACATCGCCAAGCAGCATCTGCATGACACAGTCATGTGTGCCACGCACGCGTGCCACTATGCACGGGCCACACGAAGCCTGGCTTCGCCCCAGGCTCAGGGCAACCCGCACGCGCACAACAAGCGCGGGGCTTCGCCCCTGGAGATTTGCTCCGACCTCTCCACTCGGGAAGCTGCTTGGATGTGCAATCTGCTGCGGGTGTGGGGGACGATCCCAAAACCACGGAGGGCTTGGAGATGGTTCCGAGACCGTGAGGTGGTTGTGAAGAAGGGGCCATTGAAGAGCCAAGTGGGGGCGAGACCTGGAACAGGTGTTTCATGTAGAGGGAAACCAAGTATGGACTAGTAGAGTATTTCATGTCAGCGGCTGCTTAGTCTGAGTTACCTGTCAGCTGTCAAATTGGGCTTTGGTGTCGGAGTCAAAAAATTTTGGAAGAAATAAGGGGAATTCAACCCCCTGTGCAAGTCTGTTCCGGCAAAACTGTTGACTCGGACAGGTGGAGCTTCCTTTGGCAAACTCATGGGCATCCTACTGGCTGCCGTGCATGGAGGGAAAAGTGACCAACAATAAATGCTGTTTGTGTGGCTCAGCAAGAGTCGCCAGCATTTTTCGGCCCCCGCAGATGGGCCTTTACATCTTCCCAGCCTACTGAGTCGCCACCAAGAAACACGTGGTGTTTTAGTCCAAAGGCACGATTGGGTGAAATGGCCTGAGAACCTCCACCGGCCCCACTGGTTTGAGTCTACGTACAGTCACAACCACCATGTGCAGACCGGACGACTTCCCTTGCACACATACCGCCACTTGTAGTCTACGTAGACAGGCACAGTCACTCATTCGTTTGCACCGCAAGCTGCTCACGCTCGCCCACAGTGTTTTGGCCGAGCCACGGCAAGTTTACCCACAAGCCACACCAGTGCCGAGCTTCTTACACAATTTGTGAAAAAGGTAAACATCAAACCAAGCCACCCGGGTGTTTTGGACCACCGGCACCTGGGCCGCCGAACGCCTCGCCGCGGCGCCTTCGCACCGAGGCACTGCGTAACTTTGCGGCCAAAGTGTCCGCAGCGCCAGATGCGGCCCTGGAGGTCGGGTGTTTGTGGAAAGTTTGAGGCTCGGATGAGGTGGCCAAGCATGGTTTGAAGATGTTTGAAGAAGGTGGCCAACATGTTTTCTAGTGTCTCAAAGTGGGAAAAAGAGAGGCCCCAAGCTTAGTACTTTAAGTTTACAAGATTCTCCTTAAGCCAATGGATTGGAGTTGCCCGGTCCGTGGGGCGTTTGACGGACCCGGACGGTTGAGATCGCCAGGATTTGCACATGCCCAGGGTGTCAGGCCTTGGGACTTGGCGGAAAGTTGGTGACCGGTCGAGAGAACATGATGGTGTTTACCCCAATGGTGGAGCAGCTTAGCAAGAGAGACGCCATGGTGCGCGCTCGATGCCAAAAGGAAAGATCCCAGAGGATTTGATTGGTGCTGCATAGTGAGAATGGAGGAAATCGATGCTATTGTGAAATTCAGGGAGTCAGTGGACTGGGCACTTGGAGGTCTTGGTCTCAAGGTCCTTCATAGCGTAGTTGATCAGGGTCTGCCACTTCTGCTTCTGTTCTTGGATGAATTCATCAGGGTATGGGCATTCTGTTGCAGCATGTTGCAGCCATATATGACCAGCTTGAGCATTTTCTTATATTTTCTTGAGCAAAAGCTCATCGAAGGGTACAGAATCTGTGGGCGACATCGAGTCTTTGGGATGAGGCAATCCGTCACTGATATGGCAATCCTGCTCAAAAACCGCCCGAAATCCTCCTAGGTTGACCTCCTAGCTTGGTATAGTTTGTTTTGTTCGTTCATTCGTGGTTGACCCGTATCGCCTCGGTCTTGCCCCACGGACCGGCGTCCCGCCGTGGCGGTCCCGCCTTCGACCCCCGCACGGCCGCGCACGGCTGCGCGAGTTACGCGATCGCTCGCGGGTTCAGTCAGCGCGAGCAGAGCGGCCAGGTGAGGTGGGCGAAGATCCCACCGCGACCTGTGAGCCCTTCTTCGTGCCTCGCCAGCCCCTCTTCGAGGACGAGGCTGAGAGTGTGACGGTCGCCGTCCGAGGAAACGTCGAGGCGGACGGAGGAAACGGTGGCTAAACGGCGCTAAGGGATGCTGAAAAAAGGCGGGAAGATGATGATGAGGATGATCGATTTGCTTGGTACACACATCAATACACAGCAGTGTAGTAATATTGCATGATAATGATCTGGGGAAAGACCCGGTGGACCAAAGGTGTTGATTTGCGTTTCCCTTCTTTCCTGTCCATGTTCGCACAGCAGCTCAAGCTGAACCACATCGAAATTGAGGTCAACTGCCAAAAGAAAGACACCGGGAGCACGAATCATGTCCTCACTTCCTTCCGCCGATCTTGGCTTGGGGCAGTCAAGTGTCCAATGTGTTGGGGCCGATCTTGGCTTCGTTGACCCAAAAAGGGGAGGCCCGTGGGCGTCGAAATCAGGTCTCTTTCGCAGGAGGTCCTTTGGAACATCGAACAAGCAACTCAGTGTGAAGAACTTCACAGATCCTCGACATGACATGGCTCGTCACGTCTCTCCCCTGACATCAGGCGAACTTCAAATTGCTTTTGAGCATCGGCTTGGACATGCGCCTCGGCGAACGGAGGAGGTATTGGTGTGGCCGGTGAAAGGGGGGTTCGGGGCGGTTTAGGAGGTTTTTCTTTGCAGGTGGAGGTCTTGGAAGATGTCCCTCCCTCATCTGATAAACGCACAAGCAGATCCATTCTGTCCTGTGCTCAATCACATGATATATCTCGAAGCTTCTTGCATCTTGAGACCAAATCCTTTCTTCGCAAATGATTTAAAAAACGATTCACGCTCTTCGTACGTGGGCGGAACACGGAGGTGAGCGATGCCCCCAAGTTCCCACGGAAAGAGACCCACATGGAACCGGGCCTGGCATGGACCCGCAAGGAAGACTCGTGTCGTTCACCAGTGGTTTTCAGGTTCCATGTTTGTCTCTTCCAGGGCGTGTCAATTTGAGTATCTATCCCTTCCTGTGCCTAAGTACCTGGTAGTTTATGCAGGAAAGGCGATAAAGGAATCCCCTTTTTGCTGTTCTTCAACAGACACCTTCGACTAGTCGAGGAACAGTCGCCATTTGACCGTTTTCCCAGAGCTCGTCCATGTGGTTCAAAGGAGGCCATCGAACTTTGCTCAACGCTTGATGTCACCACTTTTCTAGTCACTGGGGCACCAACAGTGGGATCATTGGGGCACCGGGCCGCACTGGGCTGCAACCGAGCTGCACCATCGCCGCCCAGGGCGAGGTGTAGTGCCGCGCACGCGCTGGCCTTTTTTTGTGGCGACGGGTGCTCTGCCTTGCTTGGGGGAGACTGGTCTGACCTGGTTGGGCTTCTGGAGTTGTAGGCTGTTATGCAAAAGGCATATACTAGTATACACCCATGTATCCCATAATGACTCTCCTCCAACAATGTTGGCCTACAATAAGACTTCAAGATGCAACAGCTAACATTGATGTGCAAGAAGGGCCAATCACCCAGAGTGGGATGGTGTACCAAGTTCTCCCAACGTGGACGTGTGGGACCCCGTTCTTTTTCTACAGACTTGTTGGTTGATGAGAAACAAACACCACCCAGGTATCCTGAGACAAGCATACCGGGGAACCAGGGTCATGTGCCTGTTTGGGTGGCTCGAGCCCCTAGAAAGGGCAGGAGACCAAGGAGGGGTTGAAAGTCACGAACCATTTGCCAAGTACTGTTCACACAGAACACTGTTGAAATGTGGAGTGGGGATAGCTTCGAAATGGTGCAGACGATTGTGCTTCGTTTTGTCACAATGACCAGGTCCAGTTGATTGAGAAAATGATAGAACATGAATACACGTGCAGTCGAGCAAAGCTTCAGTGAAGCAGCGAATCGCGGAGACTCATGAATGCTATTGGCCATGGCCATGGAAGCCTTCCGTTGGGTCAGGACAGGTGGGAGAAGCTTGACTATTCAAAGACTAAGTGCAAGAATCTCAAAGCGAGACGATGTGATCTGAAGAGTCTGAAGATTGAATTTCTTGACCCCCCAAACACGTCAACCATGAGCGGGTCGATAGCTACAGGTGCAGCTGTTGTGGCTGGTTTGATCCCGGGTGCTCCCGGAGACCCCCGGGCCAAATCGGGCCCATAGCTGAGCTTTCGTAGGACCTACAGCGGAAGCCTTCCTGGGCCTCGCTCGCCCCATGGCGAGGCGAGGCGCCTTGTTTCTCGCCACCTCGCCACGTGGCGCCAAGGGGACGGCGTCCAAAAGTCGTCTCCGAGGTATAAATTGTATACTGCATATATACATATATATATACACAGTGTATATCGATGCAATTTGGAGGGTACCATATAAAATTGTATAGTGATATATATATATATATCTCATATTACAATTGTTCATATTGTACAGTTATATTTAAATATATACATATAACACATATATATATACACGTGTTATATTAAATGTTTTATAATATATATATATATGTCACATATGAACAACTTTTGTTAAGGCTTATGCCTGACAGCCGGACGCTGGCCAGGTGGAGGAAAGGGATGGGGGAGGAGGAGGAAGAAGGCCAGTAGGAAAGTGCGAAGAAGATGTGGTGGTTGTAGTGGGAGTTGTTGTCGTTGTGGTTGTTGTTGTGGTGGTGGTCGTCGTCTCGTCGTCGTCGTCGTCGTCGCGGTGTATGGATTCCATTGCACGGGCATTCGGGCAAGCGTTGAAGCCCAAGAGCCGCAAAGCGTCAGACCTGCGAAGCTTCGAGGCGTCGAAGCCGCGGAGCTAATCTACGTTTTGGAGCAATGAAGATGCAGCAGTCAGTATGCAGCAGTCAGTGGAGATCAGTATCACACCAGCATATAGACACGGTTGGATGACATTGGCCAAAGACCCACGGGCTTTCATTGCAACACTTTGAAGAAAATGAGGGTGGAAGTCCATGAGAGACACATGGGCCAAGAGACAAAGCAGCAAGCTTTCCAAGTCAGAAGCTTTGGAAGCACCACCTTCTCATCTACATCCTCTCGTTCTCAGGCTATGACCATGAGATGGCTGATGAGTTGGAAGGTAGACAGCGAGGGTGAGACAGCCCCCAAAGCCCGACTGGTCTTTTTTGCCTATCAGGATCCCAAGTACGAGCATAGAACCACACATGCTCGTACAACAACTCGACACACAAGACAACGGATGTTACATCGGACATGTCGAAAGTGACATGTTGGAAAGGAGACGTGTCAGCAGCCTTCCTTCCAGGCCGTGAGTGTACAGAAGACATGAGTTTTCCCGTGAGAAGGT